TTTAAAGCTCAGCTTAAGGACACAAGGTTTTGTTATTTTCCCACACTTTTGCAGACAGTCAGTGTCACCACAGGCCAGAACCTTTGTGCATGGTCCCTCCCTGGACCACAGCCAGCAGGCAGGCAGGGAAGCATCTGGTCTGGAATGCTGCTTCCCAGGACTATGAGCCAAACCAGGTGTCTGAGAGGAGAAACAGCCCTGCAGCTAGGAGGCGTTCCCTCTCTATCCCAGGCAGCAACCCCAGCCTCCAGGTCCTGGGTGAGGATGCCAAAGGGTCTCCCTGCCGCATCCCAGCCCTGCTTAGCTCACAGCCTTCACAAACAGCACCTCCTCCTTAGGCCTCTTCTGAGGGACAGTTGAAAAGTGGGTCTGTACAGGTTAAAAGTCACCAAAGTGAAAGTGGACTCCCAAAGAGACAGGCCCTCAGCTCCATGTCCCTTTGGTGATAACTGGAGTTCCTTCAGTCAAAAGGTTAAAATGGAAGCAGGAATGTCACTCTCTAGAAACTAGCTGGGTTAGGAAAAAAGGGAACCAGGTTCTAGTCACATCTTTCTGAGGGCACCTGACTTGGGAACAACCACCAAGACTCTGGCAATGTTTCCTATAGAACCAGTAAGTCAGACTGACCCATTCTACGGTATTCCTAACGCAGAGCCACTTGGAAAAGCTATCTGCCAGTCATTGTAGTGGAGTTCCTGCTGTTCACCTGTCTGGTTACCTCTTTAGATGAAACATGCCCCTCACATCCAAAGGCCCCACCTACCAGAGTCCAGGCAGCCTCCAGCTAGGATTGCCGTAAGCACATCTGCCATGATGGAGGGCCTGGTCAGTGAACATGTCCCTCCACTCCTGGTAGTTCCACTGGACACTTGCAGGGGCCTTGAGGAAGCCAGGTCCTAACACGGAAGAATCTGAACTCTGCCTAACCTGGTAGATGGGGGTCAGCCTCTCTGCCTTCCCAGGCACAGCAAAGCCTCCAGGGTACCTCTGCTCTGGGGCAATTGCTCAGAGAAGTGGCCAAAAGCAAAGACTGTACCCATGACTGTTTCTGATAGCCCTGCCCCAGAAAGGACTCATAAGCAAAGCCCTTGAGGGACCCTGCAACCAGGGCACGATACTGAGACCAAGACGGAGTTTGGTTCTGGGAGGCGCTAGTATGCTGGCAGAAAAAAAAAAAAAAAAAAAAAAAACCAGACTACAGAGCACCAACAAAGTGAGTGAGCATGAGACATGAGCAGCTGCATTGTACACCACTGTCTCTTCAGTGCAGAGATGGGGCCCACAGATGGGACCAGCAGGCCCAGCTGTAAAGGCCAGGTGTCCCTCCATGAGCACAGCTGGAGAGTGACAACCCCCCCCCTCCACCCCCCCACACACACTTCATATAGTAATCAGACCTCTTAGAGGGCCTGCCAGGGACAAGGCACCAGATGACACAGCCCTGCAACCTCATTCCAGAAACACTGAGTTCTGGTTGTGTCCCCTGCCCTTTCCATTTAGACAGGGGAAATGTGTGTGATGAAGCTGGTGGAGCTCCCGGAAATCCTAAGGGGTGGAGAAGAGGCCAGCGCACAGTTGGGCAGGTAGGGAGCGAACATTAAATCTTGGCTCCTTTTTCCTCCTTTTAAATGTACTATTGGCGATTTAAACACAGGGCCTTATATATACAAGGCAAGTGTTCCACCATGGAGCTATACTCCCCACCCCCTTTAATTCCCTTTTCAACCCAAGATGAACTGCTCCTCAGAGCAAAGCCATCAGCAGATAGCATATCATCATGACCTGGGATCTTCACAAGTCTGCCCCTGGTCAAGGGGCATCCCACAAGCTAACTCTCTCACCAAGAGTTTAGCTAAGAAGGGCCAAAGTGGGCTGGGCCTCTTGAGATTCTGCCAGAAGTCTGATATAGTTGTAAAGGACAAGCTTTCTAGAAAGACACCTATGATTCTAGCACTCTGGAGACAGAAACAGGACAATAGCTATGAGTTCAAAATCATATGCTGAGTTCAGCCAGGGCTATATAAGACCTATCTCAAAGTATATATACCTTTAGACACACACACACACACACACACACACACACACAGAGAGAGAGAGAGAGAGAGAGAGAGAGAGAGAGAGAGAGAAATCTGGGCCTGGACAGGTGGCTCAGCAAGAATTTACTGTTCTTGCACAGTATTCATTTCTCAGCACCCATGTGGCAGCTAACCTGCAACTCCAGTTCCAGGGCATCTGATGCCCTCTTCTGGCATCCTCAGGCTCCTGCACACATGTGATACACATAAAGTCACACACAAACACATTTTCAAAAAATTAGAAATTCAAGAGGGCATTGAGACTATTCCAAGTTATTTGCCTTTCTACATGCTGCTGAGGGGAGCTGCCCTGATCCAGCCTTCTGGGATTGCTTCCTGCCCTGTGTCATCACCTGTGGAAATTCAGTTCTAAGTACTTCTTGTTCTAAGGTACCCTGTGCACGAATGTCAACAGGCCCCAACGAGGGAAAGTTTATAGGCAGGCTTTTGGTAGCAGGGCAGACACAGACTCCATTTGAAGGCACTCCATCCCCACTTTACAGATGGGAAGTTTGAGAGTCGAAGTTATCAGGCTTCTAGACTGAAACAGGACCAATTACAAGGTTGTGTGGGCCTTCTGTTCCCTAGCACTCCTGTGGTCAAGATGCTCACAATAATAAAGGCATCTCCTACACAATCTGTCCAGTACACCTGGTTTTTAGTATTGTTCTTAAACAGGGACATCTATATAGAATAGCATACATAAATGTTTAACTCAACCCAACTGAGCTCGCATGCACACACACATAAGCACACACACACAAGCATGCATACACACACTGGAGCACAGACACAGACACAGACACAGACACACACACACACACACACACACACACACACACACACACACAGTCTAAACCACAGAATGCAAAGCTTTTTAGAAACAGCCTGAAGGGAACCACTCCAACCTTATCCAAGCAGATGGGGAAGCTGAGGCCCCAGGGATGAAGTGATTCACCCAAACTAGCTGGTAACAGCCCTGGGGACCCAGCTGCAAGGTCAAAATTCCCATGAAATGCCACCCAGAGTCATGTCTTTTCAGGGACCAGAAGGGCCTTCAAATATACTACAAAGAACAGGACATGTGTCCAGCTCATACTGCAAATGACCCTTGAGCCTTTGAATGCCAACAGGGATGACTTCACAATGCACACAGTAGGGAGGCTGCTGCCTAACCAGCTCAGGGGCCTGAACGACTAGAGACTCTGAGGTATCCTAACGCCACAACTTTGTCAAAATGTAACATTAGAAGACAAAGAGAATTTGCAAAGAATACAGAGTAAGCCATCCTACACACACCCTGGGATCCAGGAGCCCCTCAAAGAAACATGAGGAGGACCAACAGAGGCTAACACAGAGAACTTACTCTCCACTCAGCAACACAGCAGTTCAAGAGACATATACTGCTGGACAACGACCCCGGAACTAAGACACACAGGCTTCCTATTGTATCAGCTTAAAAACTGAACTATGCAGGGCACACACACTCAGCTGTGTTCAAGAAATCCACATGCAGAAAAGCCTGGTGCAGAGCTTTGTTGGTTTGTTTTTTAAGCAAAGCCCTGGTCAGTCCTGCTATAGCAACTGTAACAAAAAACAACAATAATAGCCAGCACTCGATGGAGTCTCCCAGTGTCCCTGGCTTTGTGGCTTTTCTGAAAATACAGCTAAGGGAGTCACCCTGAGCATTTTGGATCAAACAAGGACTCAGGCTTGTGGTGTGAGAGGAGGGAGGACTGGTCTTGTAATAATTACAGCAATCACTGGTTGGCTCTATGACATCTGGCAGAAGCAATTAGCAATGGTGTGTGTGTGTGTGTGTGTGTGTGTGTGTGTGTGTGTGTGTGTAAAAATACATATCTACTAAAACAGACATCCTCAGACCTACAGAAGCACAGATACGGTAATGCCAGTTAAGAAAAGGTCCTTCTTCAGGACAGACCTATTAACTGACCCCTGCACTTTCAAAGGCCTCCCAGTCCCTGGAAGAAAGCTTGGAAGGTACTAGTTTTTCCTCCAATGTGTAAGTGGTGGGAGAGCTAGCTCTCCCTTCTGAAATCCCAACCACCTTGCTGGCTGGTTCTTCCAAATCCTCTTAATGCTCCACTCCCCAGCTACAATTTGAGAGAAGACAACACACACATCTTATTTTTCATAGCACTCCAGGTCATCACTGTCAGCAACCCCCTCAAGTAGTGTGTTCTTACCAAAGGTTCCCTTTCCCACTATAATCTTTCCTAGGCCAAAGCCCAATGTTTCGGATGGAAGGGGTAATCAATGGGTAATTTCATTTTAAGCAATGAACCGCTGTGACATCGGGAAAGAAAAGCACCCCAACGCTTGAAGAGCAAAAATGCTGTTTCAGCAGACACTTTTTGAAAAGCGGCAGACAAGACCTGATGGAAAGGAAAAAAGGAAAAAGGAAAGGAAAGGAAAAAGGAAAGGAAAGGAAAGGAAAGGAAAGGAAAGGAAAGGAAAGGAAAGGAAAGGAAAGGAAAGGAAAGGGCAACAGGACAAGGAGAGTGGGTAGTGAAGGAAAGTCAGTGCCACCGGCCGACGCTCACACTTCTGGGGACGTCCCCCCATCGCCCAAGCCCACGCTACCGGGCTTAAGCACACCGAGAAAAGTCCAGCGCGTGAATCAGTGGGACAATGACTACTATGGGCACTGGAAATGGGGTGAGGGTGGAGAGGGTTTGCAATGGGATGCTACGCTAGTCCTCGAGCTTCGATCCAACCCCCCACTAACACCCCTTCCCCAAGTCCTTCCAAGGCGAGAGCTGGTCGTAGGTCCTCATGCCACCGCATCAGCGAGCTCAGGCAAGGGAGGAAGACCCAGCTGCAGGATGCAACTCGGGAAGGAAAGCAGCGGGGCGGCTCCCGGGGCACAGAGGGGTCGGGACCACGGGCGCCGCGGCCCCTTACCTCCAGGGTCCGGATCTCCTGCTGCGTGAGGTCGTTGGACACAGAGCACTTGGTGCGCAGCCCGCGCAGACTGCTGATGGAGATATCGATGAGCTTCTGTAGCTGGCCGCACTGCTGCAGTGCCCGGCTGGCCGCGGCCCCTGCGCCCCCGTCCGCGGCCGCCGCGGCGCCCCCACCGCCGCCCTCCTTCTTCTCGCCCATAGCCGCCGCGCGCAACGCCGCTCTATCCATGCCTCGGCATCGGGGCCGCTGGGGCCAAGGCGAGGAGCCCGGGGGCACGGGCGCCTCGGCAGAGAAGCCTCGAGCCGGGAGGGCTGCACTAGGAGCGCCCCCTCGGCGCTGCCAGAACCTGAAGTCTTGAAAGCCAGCCGCCCAACCCGCTCCTCCCGCCGCCCAGACGCGGCGGCAAAGTGAAAGCCTCCGCGACCCGACGGCTGCGGTTGCTGGAGCCTTTAAGCGGCCGCGGGGGCCGGATCGAGACCGCGGAGCATGCTGGGACTCGTAGTCCGCGCCGCGCCATCTGCCTCTTGGCCCGCGCCCTCGGGGGCCCCGCCCGCCTGACGCTTAAGAGAGGCTGCTCTGCGCCTGCTCCAATTCCTGTGCATCGTGGTCTTTGGAACCTGGTTCTCCATCCTCCTCAATTCCTTTAACCCCACCTCTCCCTACCACCCACTTCTCACATACACAACTGCACACACATTAGTAGCTTCCCACGACCAGTGAATGGGGTGGGGCAGGTTGATGGCTTACACCCAGAAGAGCCCTGTAATGTGGGATATTGAGGATCCCAAATTTTTGCATGAGCTTAGGGGCCTCTATATATGGGAATATACTAAGGATGTAGCTCAGCGGCAAGCATAAGGCCCTAGGTTTGATTCCACAGCACTATCGCAAGAAAAGAAAAAAACCTCTCCTCTCGCCCCCACTCTCCCCCCCCCCCCCCCCGCACACCCTCAACTAGTTCTCACAACACTTGACCCTGAGTTGTGTTTGTGTTCTCGTAGACTTTGACCCTGAATGGTCTATAACAAAGTTAATGGACAGGCAAGGAGAAAGGACTTTTTCTGTGTCTTATTTACTCAACAAAGTAAGTTTAGCATCTCATACCCTGCAGATGACACGTGGACAGCACATTAATTTGTTAGACACTCATGAGCGTTTCCGAGCAGATAGAACCTGAGTTCAGATTTGATTTCCACCACTCCACTGCCAGCTATGTGAACTTGAGCAAATGGCTTTCCTCTGGCTTACCCTTTCACATTAGATGGGGTCGTAGCCAACTGACCCAAGTTTCTAAAAAAAAAAAAAAAAAAAAAAAAAAAGGAGGTTATGTTTGCACAGCACTCAGATTAATTACTGCCATGCCACGTGTGGTTGCGTACAAACATTAGCTCCTTTCTAAACTCAGACTTCCTGAATGAGACCCTGAGCCTAAGTCTTCAGTGGCCTCAGCAGCAGTATTTCCCAGTACTTCCTGATCCAGCATTTAAACCTCACCACATCTGTTCACTTGCCTCTCCTATTAGTCTGTCTCATCTACCAATTTAAAAGAGGAAAAAACGAAGCCAAGTGTGGTGGCACATGTGTTTAATCCCTGAGATCCAGAAACAGAGGCAAGAGCATCTCTGTGAGTTTAAGACCAACCCAGTGTTTGCATACTGAATTCAAGACCACATGTGGCATATACATACATTCACACAAACAGCTTTTAACCTCAAGGGGGGAGTGGGGCAAAGAGATAGCTCACCAGTTGAGAGTCTTTGCTCCTGCAGAGAACCCTAGTTCTGTTCTCAGAACCTACCTGATGGCTCACAAGTTCTAGGGTTCTGAATCCTTTTAACCTATGTAGTCACATACATTCAGTCAAAAACACTCATATATATATAAAATAAAATTAATCAGCCAAGCATTGGTGGTGCATGCCTTTAATCCCAGCTCCTGAGAGGCAGAGACAGGCAGAACTCTGTGAGTTCAAGACCAGCCTGGTCTACAAGAGCCTGGTTCCAGGACAGGCTCCAAAGCTACACAGAGAAACCCCCCTGTCTCAAAAATAAATAAATAAATAAAATAAAATAAAATAAAATAACATTAACCTAACACATCAAAACAAAAAACTATCACTGACAGCCAGGACTGTTTCACAGAGGAAACCCTGTCTCCAAAAACAAAAACAGAACAAAACAATGTGGTAGCTCATACCTGTAATCCCAGCACTCTAGAGGCTGAGGCAGGAGGACTCCTCACTTGAGACCAGTCTGGGCTATAGAGTGAGACCCTGTCTCAAAGGACGATGACGATGCAGCAGTCCTCACTTGGCAGAACAAGACCCCTGTTCTGTACTGACAAATGCCCCAGCCCTGACGACTACCTTAGCCCCACTGCATTAGAGAAATGACTACCCTGAAAGAAAACTGCAATGGTGGGTTTTCAAGCTTGAACAAGTTCACAATCAACTGGAGGACTTGTTCATCTCCCAATGATAGCCTCAAAGCCTGTACTTTCCTGATCCATAGATCTGAGCCTAGGTCTTGAGAATTTGCATTTCTAGAAAGTTCTTGGGTGGTACTGATGCTGCTAGTGTAGATACCATGCTTTTAAGAAGCCACAGCGCAGAAAGTAGATGAGCTAGACTTCTCAGTCACTCTCCACCTTATTGTTTTGAGGCAGGGTCTCTCACTGAACCTCAGGGGTAGCCAGTTCTGCTAGTCTAGCTTGCTGACAAGCCTCAAGAATTAGAGGCATACACTGCTATCCCACCTATTACGTGGATGTTAGGGCATCAAACTTAGGTCCTAAGGATTGCACGGCAAGCACTTTACCAACTGAAACATCTCCCCAGCTCTTGGGACCACTTTTTTCCCCACACCCTGGTAAAGACCTCTGCTGTCCTATAGTCTGTGGCATGCATGTCTACCTATGCTACCATGATGTCAGCAGCAGGGCTGGAGAGTAGACAAATGTCAGCATCTTGGCTGCTATCATTGGGCACCTGACCACATGTGGCATATACATACATTCACACACACAAACATGTAAACATAAGCAAAAGTAAAAATAAATCTAAATTAAAAACATACACACAATGTAAGGTAGGATGCCACCAAGAAGCAAGGTGCATTAGCCCAGGCTTGTCAGCACAGCACTAGAGAGGAAAGAGAATCCATTCGATGTCAGCTTCAGAGTTCTGTGCCCAGCCTGGACTACGTGAGACCCTGTCTCACATAAAGAAGCATGGCTCTGTAAGCACACAAAGTGAAAGCCATATATATATATGTTTGTATAACATATACTTACATATTTATAATATATATTATATAAGTAAATATTACAATATATATCTAATCTGCTTCTGCTATTTTTTTTAATATTAGTTTACAAAAAAAGCTTTAAAAAAATCCCTCTGACTGCAACATGAAGAGCAAGCAGCAAGAGACCAGGGCAGAAGCAGCGACTCCCAATTTTGAGACTCCTGCAATGGCCAGGGCTGGAGAGAGGAGCCAAGGAGGAAAAGGAAACAGCACACTCGCTGGAGACAGACTCAACAGGTCAAGCCTGTGGGTGGAAGGTGAGATAGGAGATATGGCTCATCCTGGCGGTGGCACTCTCAGGGAAATGCTACCCTGCAGCCAGGCACAGGCTGAACCTCGGGTTCACATCTGCTTTCCTGGCAGTCACCTTCCTGTCAGCAGTACAGTAGGCGCAAGCAGGTTTCTGCTGAAGTCTAGGCTAACACACCCAGAGCTGGGTTTCCTGGGTGCCATCTTCAATCCGAGAAATGTGTGCGTCACCCTGGAGAGATGTACTTCCTTGGGGTTTGTTTGATGAGAAAGTGTTAGGCCTCCCTACATAGCGTAGGCTGGCTTTGAACTCACCATGTAGTTTCTAGGTGGGCCTCAAGTTTATAATGATCCTTTTATCTCAGGTTCCTGGATTGGGTATGGCACCATACTACTGTGAAATGCCTTCCTTCCTTTCTTCCTTCCCTCCTTCTCCCCACCCTTCCTTCTTCTTTCCTTTTATCATGTGTGTCCACTTGTGTGTGTGAGCACCTGGGCCTGTGTACATGCTCACAGAGGTCAGAGGAGGGTGCCAGGCGTCATGGTCTGCCACTTTCTGCCTTATTCCTTTGAGATAGTCTCTCTTTAAAAAAAAAAAAAAGATTTAAAAATTTTATTTATGTGCATATGTATGACACATAGGGAGACCAGAGAGAGGTTTTGGAATCCATGGAGCTAGAGTTCTAGACAGTTGTGAGCTACCTAACATGGGACTCAAACTCAGGTCCTCTGGAAGAACAGCAAGTGTTCTTAACCACTAAACTGTCCTTCCAGCCCCCGGGAAAATCACTCTGCATACCTCAAGCAGCCAGCAAGCCCCAGGAGGAATTCTGTCTCGCCACTGCCACCTCTATGCACAGTGCTGGGGTTACGGCTACACATATAGCCACCCTCAACTTTTCACAAGGGTGGTAATTGAATTCCAGGCCCCCATGCCTGCACAGTACGTGCTCTCACCCTCTGAGTCATCGCTCCCCAAGATGCACTTTCTCTATTGTTATTACACATATCTCTATGTATGTCTGTACTTTCCTCATCCCATCCATGCAACAGATATTCACCGGGGTGCAAAGCCATGCTCAGCATGGGGCCACGTTCTGGGGACACAGCAGGGCTAGTAGAATCATGTCTCCGTACCTTCAGGTTATTGGCTCCAGGACTTTCTACGTATCCCAAACTCAGAAGATAAACTAACCTCTTACAGAAAATTGTGTAGTTTGGGCAGAGCATGGTGACATACATCTGTCATCCCACTTGTACCCACAAGCCTAAGTAGCATTGCGTGTGTGAGAGAGAGAAAGAGAGGTGTGTGTGTGTGTGTGTGTGTGTGTGTGTGTGTGTGTGTGTGTGTGTAAGGTCAGAGGACAACTCTGGTATTGAACTTCGATCATCAGACTGGGTGGCAATTGCCTTTACCTTCTGAGTCATCTGCCTGGCTTCCTTGTTTGAAAAGCAAACAGGTGGCACTGTCTTAAGAAGCAGACCAGTGTCTTGGATGTCACTGTTCTTTTCCTAAGCACCCCTCTCTCCCCTAATGCCTACACCTAAATCTGTATTAAAACCATCTCTTAGGCTGAGGATGTAGCTCAGATGGTACAGTGCTTGCACATCATTTACAAAACTCTAGATTCAATTCTCAGTACCACTGGAAACCCAGCGCTCAAGAGGTGGAAACTAGAGGATCAGAAGTTCAAGGTCATCCTCAGCTACAAAACAAGTTGAAGGCAAGCCTGGGATATGTAAAACCCTATCTCATATTTTTTTAAAGCAAACTGGAAACAAAAGTAATTATAGACTGGTCTCTTTCTGTTTTTAATTTCATTTATTATTGTTGTACGAATGCATGTGGAGGCCAGAGGACATCTTTGACGCCACAACAGGACTGCGAAGTCAGATCT